TTTCGAGACGAAGGCGGGACCAAACCGCCTCTGGCGGTTTGCGGCTTGCAAGATCTCGAAAAATTATGCGGAATCAAAAAAAAATTCGCTACGATCGGATAACCGAGCACAAAGTTACGTTGTTTTAAAGTTTGGACGCAGTTCAGTGCTTCACCGTTTTGCTCTCACGCGGTGAAGCAGTCACCGTTTTAGTGTGAAACGGTGAATACATCACCGTTTTGCTCTCACGCGGTGAAGCAATCACCACCCTTCTCTGACGCGGTGAAGGCCCAAACATGTGTAGATTGGGAATTATTTTCATAACATGTGTATTTTGAGAATTTTTTTTAAAAACATGTGTAACTTGGGATTTTTTCCGCTAATCTACAGTACTTAACGAACTAATAAAAAACAACCAATAAAACGAAAACACGTGTCTACAAGACACTATTTAATTGAAATCAACGAACTAAGAAGGACGACACTGTTTGAGCCATCTCTTTCTTCTATTGATGAAACGTCTTCGTTTTGCTCCAAAGCTGCTTTCCGGATTAGAGAAAAATACCGTCGTTTCTTCTAGGCAAGTGATCCTCAGTTGCAAGCGTCTTCAACTTGCAGCACCAGCCTTCCTGCATTTCTTCTTGATTCAATCCTCAGCTGCTGCTGCTGCTCGGTGATCATTCATCTATTACCCCCTCCCCCAACAAGCTGGCGAGTGTCTTCCAGAGACTCTCAGATTGCACATCAGCATGTTAAAACGATCTATACCAAGGCTTTTGGTAAAGATGTCTGCAAGCTGGAAATGTGTCTCAAATCAAGCAAACCATTCATCAGTCTTTCCCTAATGACATGACAATCAATCTCAACATGTTTCGTTCGCTCATGAAAGAGAGATCCTGACAATGTGTATTGCTGAATCCTTGGAATAGAACAAGCCTTGACCAGGTGAATTGCTCGAGTATCTAAACACCCTCTACAAGGCTTTGTAATGTACTGTGGTTGGTGAGTCTTGGAATCGGCAAAGCTTTTGAACAGCAAAGCTTATATCTAGTCTAGTGCATGTCAAATACTGCAATTGTCCTAGCAAGTGTTTGAACTTGCTAATCTCCAGGAAAGGGTCACCATCTGAAGCTGAAAGGACTTGTTTTATGCTGGAAGGGGTTTTAGCAGGTTTGCACTCATCAAACCCTGCCTCTTTCAAGAGTTCTGTGCAATATTTCCTTTGAGAAACATGAATCCCAGTGGCAGTTTTGTTTACTTCCAAACCAAGGAAATACTGCAACTCTCCTAAGTCCTTCATTTTAAACAAGGACTTCAGCATGTTTTTAACTGAAATGACTGCTTCTAGATTCACACTACCAACCACAATATCATCAACATAGACAATGAGAACTACCAGATGCCCTTTAATCTCAATTAAGAAAATTGAATAATCAGACATGGATTGTCTGAATCCATTACCAAGAAAAGATTCTTTTAATTTGGCATACCAATTCCTGCTGGCTTGCTTCAAACCATAGAGGGGCTTCTTCAATTTGCAAACCTTCCCCTTATACTTAGGCTTATCCCTCATGCCTTCTGCAGTTCCATATACACATCCTCTTCCAATTCACCATTCAAGAAAGCATTGTTAACATCCATTTGATGCAAATGCCAGTTGTTAACAGATGCAACAGCAAGTAACATTTTCACAGAAGTCAACTTAGCCACAGGGGAGAAAGTGTCACAATAGTCTATACCATATACTGTCTATCCTTTGGCAACCAATCGTGCCTTAAATCTTTCAATTGTTCCATCAGGATTGTACTTAATCCTGAAAACCCACATGTTGCCAACTGCTTTCACTCCCCTTGGCAAGTCAGTGATGTCCCAAGTATTATTATCAAACAATGCTTGCAATTCCTCAATCATGGCTGCATTCCACCTAGGATCTTGAGCAGCCTCAGCATAACAGGAAGGTTCATAGGCTGCTGCAAGGGCTAAAGCAAAGTGTTGTTGTTGTGGTGAAAGATGAGCCAAGTCTGGAGGAATAACCAACTTGGGACCAAAACTGACTTGATTCAAACCCACATAGAAATCATCATACTTTTTAGGAAATATTACTTGCCTTGTTGATTTTCTAAGGGGTACTACTGGTGTGGTTGAAGGAGTGAGAGGAGGAGCAGGAGTGGCAGATAAATCAGAAGAAGAAGAGGAAGAACCTCTAACTGAAGTATCTGAAATTATAGGAGAAGGGGAAATTGGTAAGGTGAATTGGGGTGATGTAGTGACAGAAGGAGAAGGATATTCTGTCAACTCAGGTTCAAAAGATGGTGAAGAACCAGAACAAGAAGGTTCTTCTGGACATGAAGAAGACAACGGAGCAGAAGAAGGCTGTGAGGGAAGCTCTTCTTCTGCAGAATCTGAGTCAGATGTGCCTATTTTGAAAGGTAAAATCTGCTCATGAAAAACAACATCTCTGATAACAAAGACTTTGTTGGTAGCCAGATCCAATAGCTTGTATCCCTTAATGCCATTAGGGATTCCTAGAAAGCCACACTGTCTAGACCTAGGATCAAATTTAGACTTATGACCCTCTACTGCTGTAGCATAAGCTAGACAGCCAAACACCCTTAGGTTCATATAGTCAGGGGGAACTTTATGCAAGATTTCAAATGGTGTTTTGTGGTCTAGAATAGGTGTTGGTGTTCTGTTAATCAGGTATGCTGGTAGTCAAGCCGCCATCGTGAGGAGGTAAGTAGTAAGGATTAAGATATGGATCTTCATAGCGAGGAACCACAAGAGGAACAAATTGATCCATCTGACGTCGAGAGTTCACGCCTTGAGGGGTTCGTGGTAGAGTGGCGTCGTTTGCAGAAGCAACTTCGTCTTCAGTCTCTACTTCATCAGCTACAAACCCATCAACTTTTGCTTCTGGAATCGACATCAGTGAATCGTGGAAGGGGAAAACAGTAGTATAGAAACCTGGATCTGGGTTACCAGAGCCAACCAGGCTCTGATACCATGAGATGAAAAGAAAGATAGCAGCGCTTTTGCTAGGGTTTTTGGTGAAGGTTCTCAAAACTTGAGATCTTCGTTTTCTGGATTTCTCATTATATACCCAACAGCCTTTACAGAGGAAATGAAGAAGCAACGGCTAATCTACAGTACTTAACGAACTAATAAAAACAACCAATAAAACGAAAACACGTGTCTACAAGACACTATTTAATTGCAATCAACGAACTAAGAAGGACGACACCGTTTGAGCCATCTCTTTCTTCTATTGATGAAACGTCTTCGTTTTGCTCCAAAGCTGCTTTCCGGATTAGAGCAAAACGCCGTCGTTTCTTCTGGGCAAGTGATCCTCAGTTGCAAGCGTCTTCAACTTGCAGCAGCAGCCTTCTTGCATTTCTTCTTGATTCAGTCCTCAGCTGCTGCTGCTCGGTGCTCATTCATCTATTAGCCTGTACTAGAGTAGTATTCTCTTTGTTGCTACCTGATTCTATTTGTGCAAGTCAATGATCCATTTGTCTATGTAGTCAACCACTTGATGTTTTTTTTTTAAAATTCTGCAGCTCTACCTACTTTCAGAATCATGGTCTGTTGCTTCTCGGGTAACCTAATGAGAAGTTTCCTTTGTATACGGAGTTTTGGTGAAGATCATAAATTCCTAGCTATCTTTATTATCCACTCTTTTCCTTCTCTTTAACTATCTATTCTTATTGTTTCAACAGCCTTGCAGCGACAGCAGATTGAAGCTTAGGGGACTCTCTGGGATGCTTTCTTTCCTTCTCCTCTCCACGGGCAATAGCTGTGACTGCCACATACTGTCTAATGACACTGATTTCTTGGTGGTGCATCTGAATGGCTTTGGATTTACTTAAATTAAATCCCTTTTAGCTTGCAGTCTCGCTTACATCAGGTTAAGGTGAAAAATGATTTTGCTCCTGATCAAAATACAGTTGGGTCACTCAGACCTCAGTGAAAACTCTCATGGTGAAACACTTCAATCGCTCCTTCCTTTCAACAATGAGCTTTGTAAACTGTCATTAATAAATAGGTACTCATGACATGCACTGTGTTGTGTAGTAGTTTGGTTTTCCAGTGATTGTTACTTACTGCTGATAAACTTGTTTGTTTCTAATGTAAAATTTTAAGTCACTCTTGGTAGTTAGGTACGTTTTGCCTGCAAAGTGACTTCTCTATAGTCAATGCTTTGCACATACTATAACATTGATAGAGTGCTTCTATAATTATCTTCCACACTCACGAAAACTTTTGCATAAAAAAGGTTCTCAACCTTTTCCTCTCCATACTTGAACGAAAATTAGTGAACGAATTCTTATAGAATGCCTTCAAACTAAATTCATATGGTACACATTAAAATTTCTCTATGTTTCTTTACTATGTCACTCACCTCTTGAATTGTACAAGTCCCGACGGGCATGAATGCTAGTATATCATAATCTCGTAGAATAAAGGTTGTGTTTGTCGATACTATCATGAATAAAATTGTTCAGATGGATGCCATGGAAAAGGTTGCAATTCGATTTCAGTTCCGAATCTGGTGAGTTTCTCCCCCACCTCCATGTCTGCCATCACCGACTTCTTCTCTTTCACCAGTTCTCCATAATTTTATTTCCAAGCTCACCAAGTTTCGATTGGAATTGATGGGGTAAGTCGTCCGCTTGAATATAGCAGGAAAGGTGATTGATGAAACGCATAGAAGAATCATTATCCTTTGCATTTCAACCTGTGGTTTGTTCAATTCTTTGATTGGAGTCCCACCAATAAATTACCTCTGTGAGTAGTGATTTGTGGATCTGGGACGCGAATCGACTTTATCATATTTAACATCTCTGATTTTTGGGTCTGTGAGCGGTGATTTGTTGTTCTGTTTTCACTCAGTTATCTGTTCGTGTCATATCACTGTCTTGTTCAAGACAGTCAAACTACTCTTCTAAGAACATGGCTGAATTAGAAGAATATACTGTTTCAGATTGTACATGGCAGTGATATATAGAGTTAGTTTATAGCACTCAGTCTTCTGCTTGCTCAATTTGAATTGCAGGATCAAACCACTGGAGCTCTCCTTTCTTATGTGTCTCCAAGTTGGGTACGATCCAAGCGCAATTTGTGTATTTCTTGGTACCACACCAGTCATTGCTGTTGTATCCGCTCCAGAAAGTATGGAATTTTCTTGTTTTAAGAGAGTAGAACACGCCATCCTTCCCGCTAAACCTATCCAAGAACACCTTGTTTCCTAAGCCGGAAATCTGCACTCCACTGGTGGCTGATAACAAACAAGTATAGCTCAAAAACAGCATCGTGTCGTCCAGACTGCCTACATCTTCCCAAGCCATGGATTCTTGATTCATCTCATATACTTCCAGAGGTTTCCCTATGTGGCCTGTACACACGGAGAGAAGCTTCCCTTCGCACTCAATCAACTGACTTGTTCTCTTTACAGCAGAAGGCTTTCTAGCCAAGTCGATAACCTTGCTGGTGCTTTGCTCTGTTCTTCCTCCTGGTTCATGAATGCATAAATTTCCAGCCTTGCCCATCACAGCCACTCCATTCACTCTCCCCACGATAAATAAAGTGGAGTCTTATGGTATCTTTCTTGTAGTTTGAGTAGCCGAGGACCATGCAGTCTGAGGATGCTGGAAGAGAAGAAAATGTGATCCCGTCGAATCTATATTTATCCAAGTCAGGTAAATCAATCCTTTCGTTAGTGAAAGGATTGAGGAAGAATATTTTTTCACCTGTACTCCCTTGTGTTATCAGCAACCATCCATCTTTGGAGCAGCGGATGATTGCGCCCGTCAAACCCAACAACGGCAAGGTGTGTGTGGAATTCATTATTGGGTTGAAGAAATTGACTAGCTCACCGTCGTTTCCTATGTGCATAAGGATTGGGAATTGATGTATTTTCTGCAGCTTTGCCGATCGATAACCAGATTCAGAGGTTGAGTTAGAGAATGATGATTTCCATGTTTTGCAGGCTAGACGGAAGTAACACCGGTCAGCACCAAATAGAAGAGACTGTATTTCATAAAGGATGTCATTAAGAAGGTCGCTCCACCAATCTCGTACACCACCGCCCCTCTTCATGATTTGCAGCTTGCTGGCGATCTTATTTGCTTCAATAGATGGGGTTTCACGGTTAGGGCTGTCATCTTCAGAAGCTACTGCTTGTAGTTGTTGGGGATCATTCATTGAAGACCAGTTAACAGGTAGCTGGATCCAATATGGCCCTCCATAGTCACATTTCACGTCTGGGCAAGGTAATGACACACTTACACTTCTCTCTTGAACATCATACGCGTAAAGATACTTGTCATTCCTTTCAGTAAAGTAGATAGTATTCCAACGAACGCGTCCAGAGTCCAGATCATCTCTTGGAATTTTATAGAAGACTGTGTTATGATCAGATGCGCCTAAGAAGATAGCAGATTCTCCAGGCAAAGATTCCATCCTCCCACATACTTGGGCACGGAGATTCACCTTGTATAACTCAAGGCCCATGCAACCAACGTCCGTGGTAGAATCGCCTACGAGGAACTCATCCCCGTAGTGTACCTCAACAACTATTAGCTCAGTAGGTGAGCACTGGACCATGGAATAGCAAATGGTTGCACGGGTCCTAATGAAGTGATGAGTTTGGTTTGGTTTCCTAACATTCAAATCAAGTAATCTCAGATAGCAGCGATCATGATCGTCGTGATCCCTACCAAACTGAAACTTAACGAGGCTTTGACAGCAAATCGTGAGACCATAGATCTCGTTATTGATGCTGGTGATTGCATCAAAATTATAGCCCACGGCGGGGCAATTACAAGGAGCTTGCACCTCTTGTCTCGTCCAAGACTCATCGCCGGGCTTACAATATAGAAATACCTTCTGGTCAGAATCCAGGATATACATAACTACACAACTTCGATCATGTGGAGGAGAAGAAAGGGTGCAGAAGGCATAGGCCAAGTCGGGTTCGGGCCACTTGGGCAACTGAATCTTCTCCATGGTAACAGGATTTAGCAAGTAATCATCTTCACAATCATCGTCACCGAATACGGTAATAACTAGCCAACCGTGAGAACTGGTGTCGATTTTATGGGTAGATCGCAGTCCAGGGATGTTTATGACATTGTGACGGCGTTGCGGCAAACTGTAAAGCTTTGTGACGTTTGGTTTCTCGTCGCCATGGAGATATACAAGCCATGGTTCTAGCCTTTCTTCTGACATGTTTAATATTTTGTACTTCAGGCTACAGAGAGAGCAGGTTTCTGGAATTTCTTCAATTTGAGAGCTAAATAGAACCTTTGCAGCGCGTTGGTCATATTTTCAGTTTTCCTTGTCCAACAAGGAAATGGTTCTCTTCTTGAGGTTCGGATTTTCTAACTTGACATTTGGAAAGATTCTCTTTTAGGAACCATTGTTTAGGGGGTTATTGTTTTCCAACAAGGAAATGAATTCTCTCCTTATGCGACAAGTTTTGTCTGGAGGCAGTGCTATCAATGAAATCCCATAATACATATATTTTTAAAAAAAATTCTCAAAATACACACGTTATAAAAAACATTCCCAAAATACACATGTTTGTGCATCACCGCGGTTTACGGCCGCGGTGAATGCCTGACGTAACACTGCAACTTCAAACAAACGTAACTTTGCGCTCGGTTATCCGATTGTAGCGAATTTTTTTTTTGATTCCATATAACTTTTCAAGATCTTTCAATCTGAAGAAAGACTTAATCTCAAAAAAATGTCGTTTGTTACCCCGAACGAGCAATTTTTCAATTTTGCCAAACTTTAGAAGACCATAACTTTTAGCTCGTCAATCCGAATGTCGTAAAGTTTTTTTTGATTGCGCATAACTTTTTAAGAACTACAACATTTACTATGAAAGAATTTTTAAAAAAAGAAATGTTTTTGGGTATACGGGATTTTGGCAATAACTTTGCCTTTACTTTTCACAAATTCACATACTTTCCAAAACTATGGTTATAATAAAAGTTGTAGTACTTCAGAAGTTATGCGAAATCAAAAAAAGTTTCATGACATTCGGATTGTGGAGCACAAAGTTATGGTCTTCCAAAGTTTGTCAAAATCGAAGAATTGCTCGTTCGGGGTAGCAAACGAATTTTTTTTGGGGTGAAGGCTTCTTGCAGATTGAAAGATCTTGAAAAGTTATGTGGAATAAAAAAAAAAGTTCGCTACAATCGGATAATCGAGCGCAAAGTTACGTTTGTTTGAAGTTTCAATGTTACGTCAGACATTCACCGCGGCCGTCAACCGCTGTGATGCATTCACCGCTTTGGTCTGCCGCAGTGAATGCAATCACTGCGGTTGACAACAGCGGTGATGCCCAAACATATGTATTTTGGGAAAAAAAATTTATAACGTGTGTATTTTGAGAATTTTTAATAAAAACATGTGTATTTTAGGTATTTTCCCATCAATGTCTTGGCCGGAGAGATTTCCGTTTCTGAAAAATCTATGTAGGAAAAGCTGTCAGGAATAAAGTGTCTCTGCAATTTCACCTGTAAAATATATGCCTAGAGAATTTTTACAAACATATCACCACATGTACCTAACGTATGGAGATTGTAAAGATGCTTGATCCAATCATATTTCCTAATGTTGTCAACGACAAATAAAAAATTGTCACGACATATGTGAAATATTACTCTCCAAGTCCTTTCACTACAACTTCTACATTCTTGTATTATTGTTTTCACAGTATGCTACATTGTTAGTAATCAGTGGATCATTTTAGATGTGGCAAAGTGGTGGGCTGATTTTGGTCCGATTCTGCTCTAATGGCGTCGAGCTGTGGTATGAGTGGAAAGTCGTGGGCTGATTTTTGTCAGTGTCACGGAGAACAGCAGATTGCACTATGTTGAGCCAGAACTGGTCGATGGAGCACTCCGTTTGCCGAAGGAACTGCTTGAGGAAGGCGCTGCACGATGGCGTCACAGTCTGATTGGTCAGTTTATCTCCCCTCTCACTGCTCTTCTTGTGATTCACGCTTGGGGGAAAAAACTTTGGGGAAGAGATGGAAATATTAGGGTTTTGTGGTTTGGAGATAAGGGTGCTTGTGTTCCAGTTTCCTAATGAGGCAACTTAGTCATGGGTTTTCAGAGGAGGTCCCTGGCACCTATGGGGGAAATAAGAATTCTTCCTTCATCGACTTGCATTTGTCTCTTACATGGTTTAGTTAGATGCATTAGATGGTTTCTCTACTATAACATTGTATGCATATTTCCTTAACTCGAGGCCAGGATTTTGTGACAGTAAGGATTCGATATCCCCGCTTTCAATACGTTTGAAGCATATCGCGTCATTTTAATTTATTTTTTACTTGTTTTTGTTTCAGGTTTCTTTGTCACCTAGGATGATATCAAGACCTTCCCTTGTTTCCAGGTTAATAAGATTTGCACGACTATTCTCCGAGTTTCCAATTCATTTCTCCATCAAGTCTTGTTCTTGTTTCAGTATGTTGTTGCTTTTGGCAGAATGAAACACTGGTTGCTATCAAAGCTCCACATGGTACTACATTGGCAGTTCCTATTATCGACTCTGCAGAATCTTTCTTCAAATCTATCTCCTTTCTTCTTCTACAGGCTGTAGGCTGTTGACTATGCTCAGAGAAGATACATGATCGTGGTCAGAAACACAATGGTCAGTGTGTGTTGCCCTTAATGAAATGCTTGTATTATTGAAGTTACTGTACTGTCCAAGTTAGTGTGAGATGTCTATGCACTTGCTTGAATCACCCCGTGTAATTGTTCTTAGTGACAACATTTTATAATTGTAAGTTTTGTTACTAAAGAATTTGGTTATCTATGAGATATGATATCGAGTCATTTTTATTATAATTCAATTAACATTAAATGGATCATGATTGTCTTAATGACCAAAGTCTCATGCACAAAGTTGGTCACGGTTTAGACCGCATTTCTCCAATTTCAACAGGCTGCATTAATTTGTAGCTGCAATGTTGGCCGAAAATACAACCCCAGGTAATTGCCGCAGCTCGATTTTAGCCCCAATATTGTTAAACTGTATCGTACCGGCAATTAAATGGAAAAAATCGACTACTAAAGTTAAAACTGATATAGAATTTTACCGATATAAACTATTTACTCACAAAATACCAAACAAACATGAATGTTATGAAATACTAAGTACAATTTTAGGGTAAAATACATCGAGTATCACTAAAGTATGAGATTTAAGAGAGCTATATCACTTAAGTAAGAATAGGGCATCGCGTGCCACTAAACTCTATTATAAGTGCACCCGGTACTACTTAAGTTTACTGTCAAGTACATTTCATTAAAGTTCACAGAATATTCTTGGAATATTTTATTTTCTTAATTTCAGAATTGGTTCTTTTACTTTTTGTTATTGCAAAAAATCCTTTCGACTTATGAAAAACATAATTTTTTATTGTTTAGTTGGAATAATATTTTGAAGACTCTGTTTTATACCAAATATATTTTTGAATAAGAAATTTAGAATCAATTATCATATAAGTATTTTCAATATCATTATGTGTTCTATTAATTGAATTATTCTCTTAAGAAAATATGTCCTATGAATTATGTCTCGATATAAATAATATGAGGATTTTATATTAGTTCTCTAACATCATGCTCATCTTGTATAATTTTCTATATTAAATCTCCTTGTAATTCTCTAATATGATGTATTGATGGTTGATTAGGTTCTATATAACTGTTTTAAGTGGTGCTTTTAATTATATTAAGGGTTGAAATAGATCTTCTAATATTGACTTTATATATTTATTATTATCTTCTAGTATATGTATTTTTCCTTCTTGATATTTGTTTATTATTTTTACTAATTTATCTACTTTATTGAGAACATTGCATTAGTGATTCTAGTAATACTATGTGTTTTCCGGCAAAAAAAAAAACTTGCATTGAATGAGAACTTATTGCACCTTGACTTCTTTGGACAACGATTAACTTAACACGATTCACACCTCTTCAAATAAAGTTCGAACGAGGGTGTTCGATGTTTACACGACTCACGAGACAGATTTACACTAAATTAACCCTACTCCTATGGAGGTGTAGTGAGAGCTCCAGACTATGACTAAAAATTGCAGAGGAAAGATAAAAGGCAAAATACACTTGTATAGCCATAAATTTCACGTTTGTTACAAATATATACATAACTATCCGAAAACACAAAATAGTCCAAAAATTGGATGGTAGTGTGACAAATATAGCCATTTATGTTATAAACTTTAAGGGCGTTAGTGACGCCGTTAGTTATGTTAGCAATACGTTGACTAGGACGCCAAATCATCGCACACGTTATCAAAAAATCAACATAAAGTGACACGTAGGTTACACGTCATATTTACTTAAAAATACTTAATTATAAGAAATAAAAATAAAAATCAACTTCATAACCCTTCCTTTTCCTCCCACCTCCCCTCCGCCCCACCTTTTCCCCTCCGACCACTCCCACCGACAACACCCTTCCCCTTCCTCCCACCTTCTCCCCCTCCGCCCACTCCCACCGCCGACATCGAACCCGCCACCACAGTCCACTCCCACCGTCGACATCAATCCGCCACCACCGGCCACTCCCACCGCCGACATCAAATCCACCGCCACCATCCGTTCAACTCTTCGATTTCCCCTCCAGGTCTCCCTCGCACACGCCAGCTCCCGCCCTTGCCTCCTGTCAACATTAATTCCGAAATCGCGCCTCCCATCACCATCAATTCGAAAATCGCTGAACAAATTTCCCGCCCTTGCCTACGGTTTCTCCACCACCCTTGGGATCCCCCACCCTCGTCTCCGTCATCTCTCCCAATCTCCGATGTTTCTCTGGATTGGCCACGATGGCGATGGAGGTTGCAGTGAGAGAGAACTGCGTCGAGAGATGGAAAGAGGGGGGAATAAATATGAAAAAAAGGAAAAAGAGAATGGTGGCAGATCAAGAGATGGGAAGAGGGGGGAGTCAATTTGGGAAGGAGGCAGAGGAGTGAAGGTAGGGATTGGGGGTTGGCACTAGCGGCCGAAGATGGTGGAGATAGCGAAAGATTAATAGATTATTGTTCTTTTATATTTTTCATTTAAATTAATTATTTTTTATTTTTTACTTTTCTTTATGTTTATCCGCGTCGGTTGGTGGGGTAAATTAATCGCCAACTCACCGTCTTCCGTTTAGTCCAGTCATACCGTCAACTTACGCCGTTA